CATTTATGATCCTCCAAATTTGCTTCGGATCTCTCTTAGTAACATCAATTTTGTTTTTAAAGTATTCACATTTGGCTTGCTTTATAATATTATTTACTTCATTCCGAATCCGTCAGGATTCCAAACATTGACATGACCAAAGAAGCAAAAGCGGTCTGTTGATTTCTGGACTTTTTTGCAAGCATGGGATTTAAGGCCGGCGCACAATAGAGCTATCAGCTATGTCAGCCTACGTGCTTAGCAAAAAGTCATTCGTGGTCATTAGCGTAAGCCAGTTGATCTCGTGTGTGGACGACTTTTCCGGCGACTTTTGGTACGAATAACCACACGCCAGCACACGAGAGCAAGGCTTACGTCAATGGCCACAAATGACTTTTTGCTAAGCACATAGCTCTAGAGTGCGCCGGCCTCTGGACAAAGATTTTTATCATGCGAGCATCTCAACAGTTCATTCACGTTATACTGTAAACTGCAGCTCCTCTTATATATTCTACAATAAAACCTAAGAAAAGCAGCCATCGATAAAATAACAACGACATTTTGACAAGTGTCTCTCTAACTGACACACATTGCCCAATATGAGTCATATACCTCCGCTTATGTCTGTATGAAAAAAATACTTTAATTTTAATAACTATTCAAGCCGGTATCGGGTTACTGCACAATACTGGGATTTCTAGCCATGCATGGGTATTTACAGAAGTAGCCAAAGCCATCGAATTCGTTGTTTCACATTTTATCTTCTTTCTCTTACAAGTGATCGATATTTCCAACTCACCTTGTGTAGTCGTGAAAAGGAAAATGGAAATCTATCTTCAAATCCTAGAGAGTAGAGGCTAAAAGCATAACTGGTTTTCAGCCGGTATTGATATCTATCTTATGCAAAGTGCAGACAATGTTGTCAATTCTTAATCACCCAGTATGTCTGTTTGAATCAACAAAGAAAACTTGCCACATAATTTGACCACTTGTATGCGGTTGGCCAGCGGAGTATAGTATTTTGCAATGGCGCGCTCACGTTATCCGCTGTACGATTACATCGCTGGCTTCAAACTAAATTGTCAAAGTAAACTTGTTTGCACGTTCACACGAGAAAATAAAACTTGTCAAAAAAAAATTTTTCACATAAAAATTGTTGTACAAACACATGTGCAATTGCCAATTAAAACTTGTCATAAAAATCTCATACAGATCGGCCGCGAGTATTTTAACGAGGTCTTTAACCTCCTTCATCATTGACACAAACATTTCCTTCATTTCTTGCACATCATGTGTGCTTTCGATTTCTGTGGTCGGGTCGTTCTCTGTGCCTGCCATTTGCACAACGACGGTGTCGTTAATAAATCGGCTTCAACTGCGTTGAGCCTGAAGTTTTTTTACTCAATCTCACCAACAGCGTTGGCGTTATGTACTAACTTCGCCCGACCAGGCTTATCTTCGGTGATCGATAGAGACCGTAAACCGGAGTTTTACTGGTGGTATAGTCGTAGACTTGCTTCTTTTCCAAAACTACGCGTGCAATGACTTGCGCATGCTCCGTGCTATCTCGCGGGATCTCCTGAAGCCTCCAGTCATGTGACAGAATTAAGCTTAATGCATATTAGGGCATGTGTGTAACAAAGTTATGAATACTAATTAAGATTGGTTGTATCAAAGTTAATATATTAATTAACAATTCGTGAGACCTTTATGGAGAATTACAGATATATACATGTGACCAAAATACTGCGCAATGATTGCAAGTTGGACTCATTAATTATTCATGAACTTCACAAATGCATTTAATATCGATATTACTTTGTTTAAACAAACATTATCGTCTCAAATAGACGTCAGTTCTAGACAACAATTCAGTCAAATTTCAAACATTTACACAAACGAGATGTGAACTATTTAGACGAACTATATGTAGACGAATATGTCAGACCAACGCGTTTATAAAGTCGGCACGGGAATATTTAGACGAATGAGCATGGCAAGGAAATTATTTATGTTGTATGAGAAGAGGGCACGGCAGCCGTTTTATAATTCTCCGCAGTAGAAAATTACTGTATTTATATTCTACTGTATTCTATTACTGTATTTATAGTCTGTATTACAGTACACACCATAAATATAAATAGTTATCATTGTCGATCACCGTAAATATAAACAGTTATCATTGTCGATCACAAACTCCGAATCAATTCTATATAGTTTAATACGGCTCGGCTTCTCACCTTTAATCACGAACAGTGACACACCACATAAAACTAACCATCGATGACATAACCAAGACATCTTGTCTTTTACCAAGAGAGTAAAAGCTTATAGACGAAAGATTCTTGCTATACACTTCCGCATTTCATGATTTTCCAAAAGGAATGACATCTTAAATGTGTGTTAATTAAAATTTTATTCAAAGCTTTAATTTTAATTTATTAACATGACAATATATAAACTATGCCAGTCTTAGCTTGTTTTGTTACGGAGTGTTAATTATTCTTTGAAATCATTCAAACAACAAAAATGCAACGACAATGTCTTTCTCCTTATGGGTCTATTGACATGATCCTGGTTACCCGACATCAAACAAACGGAAAACGTTTGATAAAGGCTGCTTTCCACTTACGTGTTTTTCATACGCACGTACACGCACGTGAAAGTCTAAATCCTTATATAATGTCATATTTGAAAAAGCTATGTGAATAAATCGAAAGAACTTGGACTTCCGCATATTTTAGTATGCATTTGTTGGCCCAAGTGTTAAATAATAAAACTGATTTGGAAGCGTTTAAAGTTTACCGCGCGTAAAAAACGTTCACGTAAAGGATTTTTTAAATTTTAAATAAACGGACGGACTTGTGGAATTAAAACTGATTACAATTAAAAGACTGAGACGTGAGTATTGCGGAAAATACAACTCGTCATAGTTCTCAAACGGATATCAGAGAACCCACGCCTGGCCACGCAGGTCGCCGTAAAGCTAGGCTGGTTTTCATAATTCGTCGAAATTCACATGTCATAATTCAGTTGTACTTTGTTGTAATTCGGTTTTCATAATGTCGGATTTTGCATAACAACGAATTACAACTATGATTACAAAGAATTACGACATGCATGTGAATTACGACGAATTTTACATGAAAACAAGCCTTTAAAATAAAGATGGCGGCGTGTCGATCTTCAAAGTTCAAAACAATTTTTTTGCAACTGCAAATAAGCAAATTAGTCAAGAAAGAATTTTAAAATGTATATTATGTTAGATCAAATGATCAATTTTGCGAGGACAGACTTCCTTTTGACGAGTTTGTTCTCCACACGTCGCCCTATTTTTGTCAACAAAGCCATGCATAATTATCTGCAAGCGATAGAATATAGCGACATGTCGATGTAAACAAGTCCTTCACGGAAGGAAAACTTTACCGTGGATACGTTCGTCAATAGGAAGATATTCGATCCTCATTCGATTTCATTATCTTTACCCATTTCAGAAGAATATTTTTCCTCGATATGCCGCTGTACCTTATATTAAGGCGAGCCCGTCGTCTTGTCTTACAGGTTTATATGCAGGGTGTATCAGATGTATCAAAAAAAGACAATTAAAATTCATATGGTTATTAATAAGCACAATAATACAATAAAACTTTTAATTGTGTAGCTCACAAACTGAACATTTTCTATGTGTTAAACTTTTCAAGCGAAATGCGAAATATTTCGCCTGCCTGAATTAATTTATTCAAGTAGTCGAAATTCAAAAGAAACCATAGAAGAAACAGGTGAAATATTTCGCACTTCGCCGAGAGAAAAGCGCCCGTGGAATTAAGCCGGTTTTCCACTAGCGATATTTCTCGCGCGAAGCGACTTTCACTTTTGTTTTAGAGCTCTCAACTGCAACAATCTGGAACAAACTGCCCAAATTCAAAGGAATAAATTACGCTAGTGGAAAACCGGCTTTAGGCCTTAAGCCGATGGACGAAATTTTACATATTTAATGAAAGTGAAGAAGGAAGTAAGATTTATTATTTAATTTCGCACGGCCTTGAATAAAAAAATCAGCTATGGGTCTGGTGACTTGAATTTTAAGTGCTACATATGTGCAAGGTGTTAAGAATTAAACGAAATCGTCATTTCAACACACCTGCACTACATATTGAGTTCAGCAAATACATGCCTTTTCAGTAAATATAAAAATCTCAATTGAAGGCAGCATTTTCGTATGCCATTGATTCACCACCACCCTCAGGGTGACTTTGACCATTATTGGTCCCGGGGGGTTGCAGTGACTGATAAATGTTTTCTGGTTCTCTGTAGTCATTCAACGACATGTAATCCGATGATTCCTGTCCTTCGTCTATCTCGTGTGCAGCCTCATTTCGCACAATTTCATCTGGAATCTCGTACACAAGGACCCAATCATCCGCATTTTCAGTCTGGCGATTGGTAGGGATTTGAATCGAATCTAACAGATAAAAATATTAAATGGAGTCTAACAGATTAAAAGACAGACATTTAAACTGTACATGCAATAGGATTGTGGCTGATTTTGAACGAATCCGAAAAGAAATTAAGTATCAAAAAGGTAAGCGAAAAAGAAAAAAATTCGATTTGTAACTCGAACAATGACAACAATTCTTCTCGTTTATGAATCCTAAAATGCACGTAAAGTAAAATATGGTTTATTTACCCAGCTCCACTACTTGACCAACTCCTTCAGAAATAGAATAACTGTTTTGACGACGACATAGATATATGATTACGCCAAACGAAAAAAAAAGGCACAATGCTAGAATACTCAGTGGTATAAGGAGATCAAGCCGGGTTTTGTCTTCCGTAGACTCGTGAACTGACTGTTGAACTGAGTGACCATCTATAAAGAAACTCCGGTTCTCATCAAAAGTTTTAAGATTTTTATCAGTTTGTTGACAAAAATCTATCAAGAAACGAAGAATACAGATAAGATAATTGAACAAACAATGAAAACGTTTGAATTTCAGGTAATCAGTTACCTGAAGGTCTCTCCATTGTGTAAATACTATCACTCCACTCTGTCGAGTAGTATGAATCCTAGAAAGGTATATATGCGTTGTATCACACTTTCTAGATAGTATATAATGCATGGATGAACAACGTTCTGCAACTAAACAGTTTGAAGTTTTTGATATGAATATTTATTTAGCTACATACTTGACTTTCAAAAAACCTTAAGAACACGACATAATTTGAATTTGCCTTTAAAGGTTGGTTGTGGTAATTTTCTTCTTCAAAACTGTAACTCTCGCCATCACCTATTACGAACATCAAGGGTAAAACATCAGCTTTTAAATAAGCAGTGAGGTAGGGATCCCGTGTGTTTGACTGGAAATTTTTGAGATCACTTGTTTTAATGTCTTCGCTTGGAACTTGACTATTCGCAGAACTTTGCACGATGACCATAACTTCTCTAAAGCATTAAATGATATGATGGAGAAAGTCAGGTTGCTACATGACATTTTCTTTAAGATCAGTTATGAAGACCTTTTGTAAAAAAATTAAATATAGTATAGCTATATATAATCCTGCTACAAGAGGGTTTATTAAATTGAATACATGCAGGCGTAGCTAGGGCGGGGGCCGGAGGGCCCTGAAATTATGGGTCCCTTCTGAGAAAATGAAGTGCATCCTTTTATTCCGTCAAAAATGCAAAAAAATCTGAATGTGATCTTGCGCATCGAAATGTCCATCGTTAATGCCAGGAAATCCTGCCCAGAATGTCTAGCACCTTGTCTCGGGTCACACTGATACCCTTACCCCACCTAAGTTATGCTGCCTACCCCCCTCTCCCTTCCCCGATATCCTGGCTTGCGTCTGAATACATAGAATGGAGCAAAGTGCTAAAAATTGTGTTTTAATGTATTCAAAAAGCAGAACGGTTTAATGAATTCAATAAGCATGCAGTATCGATTGGCTAAATGGAGTAAATCAGTGGTCAAATAAATACTTACTTTATATATTCCTGTTGTTTAGGTATGTTTACAGTCAAAGTATAAAATGAGGTGGCGATTAGATCGACCGGCCCTATGTAAGCATAAAAAATAATAATTCACTTAGGTGAGCAACCGTATTTTAAATTACCCGAACATGCATTGAACACTGACATCAATTAAAATTACCTCTATTGGTTATTTTACTGACTTCCGGACTCTTCTCTCCGTAACCGTGTTCTGTCCTGGCCGAAACTGTTACGAAGTATTTCGTGGAAGGTCGAAGATCATTGAAAGTATGGGAAAGAGCTTTAGTGCTGTTACAGATCGGGCATTCTGGAGACGTATCATTTGTAGAGAAACAAACTCGATATCCTGTCAATTTATTATTTCGTGTACTTTCAACTGGAGCTTTCCACGAAATTCCCAGCGAGGTCTTGCTACGAGATATGAAAGTGACATTCAGCGGCGGTCCATTAGGAGCTACAACGGCAAAAAATATAATATCTATATATACCTATCGAATATACCTTTATTACGGGACCACTGAGTATTTTGATAAAATAGAGAACAATTAGAAACTCGTAAACTGAATTAAGATTATTATTTATACGTTTCGACTAAAACGATTTTACCACGTTTAATTTCTGTTGCTCAGCGTTACCTGTGAGAGCACCAAATTCTTCACTCGAGTATGAACAGGTGCGATTCTAAGATGCGGAATATATGACATAGTTAAAAACAAGCTAAATCATGGGAAACCATGGGATCGCACAAATTTTTATATTCCCATTTCAACCTACCCCAGAATCGTCAGAATTCATTTCTGTTGCTCTATATTCAACCTTCGGCTTCAGTGCAACAACCTGAACAGGGAACCTTCCAAGGAATATTTCTATTTCATCACATTGGAAATCACGAATAGTAAACTCCTTAACAATAAAAGCGTCCCCGGTCTTCGTTTCTGATGGAATTGAACTTTTTATCTTGATGGATTCTGGTGCTGGAGGTGCACTGGAGTCTGACCAAAGCAATACAAGAGCGACCATTCTAAAATGTAAAATGGTTCTTCAAGATTACATTGTAGAACTTTAAATATTTGCACTTAAATCCTAATATAAAATACTGACCCTGGTAAATCGTCGTGCAGGGCAATACTTCATCAATCGTACGTCACCATGACTAAATGTGAACAAACCTTATATTTTTCTCTTTTGGTTTTCGTAGTATCACTGTGTAAACGTTATCCGTTTTCTTTTGTGGCTCCAAGGGCTCTATAAAAACAAAATGGTATACGTAACAAAATAACCATCGACATCTTCGGAATTTAGGGTAGACATGAATATGTATCTCAATCGATGTGTTCCGTGTCTTCTTAAACCGCTGGCTGTATGATGACTGCGAGCTATTAGTTACATAGGTTAATCAGGGATTTGCTATACTTTTTTGTCTATTAATAACAGGAAATCTAGTTTCGGCCCTGCATGGATTCATTACTTACTGGAAAGAGACAACCAGGATTTTGAAGCTGCCTGACTGAGAAAATTACGTGTACTGATTGACAAACCATGTATTGACCGCGATGTTGCCCGTGTGGTGTATAAAATTATACCTGGAAAAGTTTATACTCAGCGCTAGTTTAGATAAGTCATTTAGATAAACTCGAAGTTCAGGTATTATAACTTCAAAGAATCAAGTGTAGCTATTACTACCTGTCGTGATGGGGTTAATATAATTATCCACACAAGTGTATTCGATAAAAAGTTCTTTTGTTGTGTCAGAACAATATTTTGATGAGAGTAAATTATTGTCAACGGTCAGTTCGCAAGATCTTTTTCCACCACAAAGAGATTTCACTTCACAACTTGCTTGTCCACTACATTGCGCATCAACAGTTGCATTCACATCAAATGTCCCACTTTTATTGAAATCACCGTAATGAGCTTTGTGGATCACCATACGTTGTATTGGAGAACAATGAACATCTTTCATTTTTTCACCAAACTGCGTCACTGAACCTATAACATAGAATGAAGATACTCAACCATGTAGACCCCTGTTTCTTGGAGTGGGACAAGGTGGTTAGTTTGCCCTAGACCCTTCTCTGCAAGGCCTCATGGGCCGTGGTGAGACATGCACATGTGGCACAATTTAATTTTTGGCATTTTTCCAAAAAAATTTTGAAGTATCCTATGAAATAAACAGATTAATTCGTGAGAGTATCATCCGCCGTATATAAATCCACAATTTGTCTATTTTAGCCGGATATAGAAAGACGTCATCTTGGTTGAAACCGTTTCGTTATCGAGATTTGGGATCTTACCAAAAGTGAATTTTTGTTGTTTTTCTGTGTCGTTGCATCCATCCTTTTTCTGGATTATAAATTCCTGATTGGCATCAGGTTGAGCACACGAGTTAGTCTTGCTATTGTAAAAGAATAGAGGTCCAGCATCTCTTTGTTTCATGCTATGTCTCACATCACATTCATAATTTGGACTCCTTATGGCGTCAAAAATGACCAAGCGTTGTTTGTATTTACTACCATCGAGAAACACAAGCGTCCCCTTTCTCGCCATGTTATGAACCGCTTCTGAATTTGGCCAATATTGCAGTTGCGCATTAACATTCAAGCAATCAGACAGCACAGCAAAATATCGATGTTCCCGTTCATTACTCCAAAAAGAGGCCTTTTCAGCTGCAATACACTTTCCAGAACTGGTGTGTCTGAGAAAAAAACAGCGACAACCTGCGAACAAAGAATAAGTATCAACACACGACACACGATCTGGACGAACTATGTATAGACGAATATATTTCAAACGATTAACAGAACTGCGTTTTAAAAAAGTGCACGAAAATTTGGAAATTAGCTAATTATGTGGTCAAAACTTAAAAGAGTGCACATGAGCCGTTTTATGATGATCATACCAGGTTATAATTATATGTGAGTGATCATCTTCGTCTACCATTTCTATCAAACATATGAAGTTCAGATTGAGGCTGGTAATCCTGGTATAAACGTTTCACGAGGACGTGTGTTTTGAATCGTTGTATGCATGTATTCGAATATAATTACCGCTATCCGAGTGTAATAGGCAATTTTTAACACACAATTATTTCGTTATTTCTTGCTATAGTGAAAAGAAAATAATATTCGTAGAAAGGTAAGTATCTCCTCTTTCTTCCTACGTCAGAAAATCGTGGGACTCAATATTATGTAAAGTCGTCACACTCATTCGAGCGCATTCGTGAGAACTGAATATTTCATATTGTATTTCATCGATGATTAATTCATCGATCAATTGTACGACTGGATGAAAAATAGGTACGCAGCGCGTACATGTGACTACCGCTCTGTCTTTGTCATCTGAGTGGTATCATGGATTTAGCTGGCAGAATAGCCAGTGCTAATAGTTGTAGTGTAGCCAAAAAGAGTGTAGAACTGACAAAGAGAAAAAAATGTGAAACGTCCCGAGCCGAAAACAACTTTCGGATACTTTGCCGCTTTACCTAAACGTTGCCCATATAATTTTGTGATCGGTAAAATAAGTTTCTAAAATGCCTGAATTAACAATTTGGGATGTGTTTGAAAAAATGTGGTAAATAGTAGTTCTATTGTCCGTGGTAAAGGAGGTAACTAACTGTGTATAATTATTGTCTCTTACCATCACATTGCACAAACTACTTCTATCTGTTACATTTAGCCAGTTCACATTGAAATCACCAATATTATCACACTATCATTACCCGAAATTTCTAGACATATCTCTGTCAATGCGGCGCGCACAATTGATGAATTGAAATTTGTGGTGAACGATAGATCATAACGATTGTTAAATTTGGATGGCTTGTTATCTTAATTATTGTGAGCTCAATGCCGTTAATATTGTGCGAATTAGGATATCCGCGAAAGAATGGCACCTTGCTGTATATTGCCGTGCCACAATAAGGTCGTCCGTTGTTTGTTAAATTGGACACGTAATTCATTGCTAGATTTACAAACTAATAATTGAATTGTATAGCTTTGTATATATTCGAACTCACTGATGTTCTAATAATAACTAATACATGCGTTATATTCATATGTTTCACAGATATATATATATATATATATATATCCGCTATATATTAGGTAAACACTTATATAACATTAAGTTGATCTCCATGAGAATGAAATTCACACATTCCGCATCAGGGGCCGGTTGTTCGAAAGACGTTTAGCTTAAAAGGTGGGATAAACCAAAGTTTAAAAATACTCTCATACATCTTGTGAATGACGAAACCTATTTCTTATGCATTAC